CAGAACTGGCGGTCAGTTTCAGCAGCGGCTGAATCTGGACGCCAGTTCCGACTTACATACAGATTCAACTTAAGAACAAACCTACAGTCCCTATCTTGTACGTAACCCGGGGACTGCCTGTAATTGGAATTGACACTCAAGGAAGAAGGCCATATTCATTAAAAACTTGACCTGGTTTAGAGGGAAGTGAAGGCAGCAATAATTTAAAAAGTAGACAACAAATGGAAGAAAAAGGAAGTTGCATAGTCATGAATATAAATCAGAAGCTAGGAACTGTAGCAAATTAATAGGGGAAGCAAAGGAACACAAGGAGAAACCTACATAGAATTGAGGAAAATAAAGAATTTTTAAAAGTATATTAGGAACAGAAAGAACTCTAATAAACGCTATTGGTCTATTACTACATGGAAATGGTAGCATTATTAACAACACCACAGAAAAGGGAGAACTGTTAAATAAATATTTCTGCTTTATATTTGGGAAAAAGGAGATAATATAATCTCACCATGGTGACAGCACTCTTCCCTTTCCACTGGTTTCTCAGGAGGATTTTAAACAACAGTTATTAAAAGTAGACATTTTTATATTAGCAGATTCAGATACCTTGCATCCAAAAGTTTTAAAAGAGCTGGCTGAGAACCTCACTGGACTGTTAATGTTGATTTTTCCAAAAAGCCTTGGAATACTAGGGAAGTTCCAGAAGACTGAAAGAAAGCTAATGTGCCAATATTTTAAAAGGGTAAATAGGATGACCCAATTATTGGCATGTCATTCTGACATTGATTCCAGGCAAGATCACGAGGATACAAAACTCAAACAATTAAAAGAGAGTAATAATATTAATGCTAATCAACATAGGTTTATGGACAATAAAGCTTATCAAGCTAAGTTTGGTTGATAAAGATTAAGAGTGTTGATATAATATTTAGACTTGTATAATATCTTTGACTAGGTACTGTATGGCATTTTGAAGAAAAACTAGAATATAAAATTAACATGGCAGACATCACATGGATTAAAATCTGGCTTTAAACAAGGAATCGTCATTGATCAGGTGTGTTTCTGTAAGGGTCTTTCAGGGATCAGTTCTTGGCTCTATGCTATTTAACATTTTTATGAGAGACCTGAAAGAAAACATAAAATCACTGTGGTCAACATTTGCAGAGAACACACACACACACAAAAATCAAGGGAATGGTAAATAATGAAGAGGAAAGGTCACTGATACAGTGTGATCTGGTTTACTTGGTAAGCTGACCACAATCAAACAAACATTTTAATACGGCTAAATCCAAATGTACACATCTAGGATCAAAGAATGTAGGCTATATTGACAAGACAGGGACTATTCTGGGAAGCAATTACTCTGAAAAAGATTTGGGAGCTGATGGCAGATAATCACCTGAACATGAGCTCCCAGTGTGATTCTGTGGCCCAAAAGGCTAATGCAATCCCCCAAGATGCAGAAACAGGGGAATCTTGATTTGGAATACAGAGGTTATTTCACCTCTGTATTTGGCACTGCTGTGACTGCTGCTAGAATACTCTGTCTAGTTCTAGTGCCCATTATTCAAAAAGGATGTTGATAAACTCAAGAGGTTTTTGAGAAGAGCCACAGGATTGATTAGAGGATTGGAAAAATGTCTTACAGTGACAGAGTCAAGAAGCTTGAGCTACTTAGTTTAA